CTGTGAACATATGATCGTGACAAGTGTACCAACACAACAAAAAAATTTTGAAATTAGAGTGTACAGAACGCGCGAAATTCAAAGAGTCACCTTACTTTTTGATCACACCTCGTATCGAAAAGCCTTAAAAATATTTTTGTATGAGTACATAAAAAAATAAAATTTTTCTTATTTTCATGTACATTTCAAAAATAAGAGTATATTCAATATATATGCAATATTAATATTGCAGTTGGTACATACCATTAATAAATACTTCTTGTAGGAAGACGTTTTATTCTCTCTTGATAAATCTTAATTTGTGATGTTATTATATTTTCAAGATCTCTAATTATTTCCGTTTCTGATTCTTGAAATCTGAACACGTTTCCACTTCAAAACCTATGCAACATAAATTTTGTATTACATCAAAAGCATTACTATAAAATATACTTATCCATAATTTTACTTAGCGGTTGTGATTATAGCGTTAAGACAGCTTTTTAGGTTAGACGTATATATTGTTTTCAAGATTATTAATCTCGGAAAAGCGTTTCACGTTGTCATACGGAAAGAGTGCGCGACGTGAACATGCCTCGTCTGTCATCTTGTTGAGCCGGCTTGAAGTGGAAAGAAGACGGAACATGATACGTCTGCACTCTTCTACGAGCCGACGAGCCGAGCGTGACGTCACGCACACGGACGACGGTTTTTGCTTGAATGCGTGCTTCTAGTGGCTCCCAACACCTCGATGATTTTGGTGCTAGCCGGCCAGAGTTTGCAACACTAGCCAAGTATTACATCTGTTGCTAGATCGGGCCGGCCAGCACCAAAAGCACCGAGGTGGTGGGGGCACGCACACAGCGAGAACCGCCGTTCGTGTGCGTGACGTTCGGCTGTTCAGCTCGTGAAAGAGCGCAGACATACTATGTTCTGCCTCGCTTCCACCAAGCCCGCTATGCGAGACACTGAGGCTAGAAAGCAATGTTTTGTTGCGCGCTTGTAGCGTATGACAATATGACAACGCAAAATGCTTTTCCATGACTTACATTCTTAGAAAAAGTAGAAAATATTATTAATAAGGATGAATTAAACATCTCAAAATGCATTTATTATTACATTTTTATTAATTCTTATTCAAAATTAATTGCAATAAATTTAAAGTTTTTAGATTATATGTAGATTATTGAAAAACATTAAATATATATATAAACTATAGAATTAGTATTTATAATTTTTCTATATTTTTAATTTGTAAATCACACGAAAAGATTCTACATTTTACAGATGCATAATTCTAAAGTATTTAATTCATATGAATATAATGTATTAATTAATTGAATTTTGTATAATATAAATTAAATATTTTAAGATTATATGTCTAAAAAATGTAGATTCTTGTTATAATTTACACAACAAAATTATATAAAAAAAAAGAACTTTAATAACTTTCAATATTCAAAAAACTTTTGATTTCTTTCAGTTCACTCATATGTAATAATTCCTAAAAAAATATAATGCATCTTGAAATGTTTTACTATTATTTGTAATATTACAAACTTTTTCCAAGACTGGAAATGTCGGAAAAAAATATTAATATATAAATATTGTACGTCTTTTAACCTTTTTGCTCCGGGGATTTTTCCTTTAAAATTGACCTCGCATTTTAGCTTAAAAAGTTAATAATAACCTGCTACCCCCCCTTCAAAGTTAATTTTGAAGGTCAAAGAAGTAACCAGGATTTTTTTCAATTTTTTTCCTAAATTTAGTGCATTAAATTGACCTTATAAACATCTATTACGTTCGCTTTTCTTGCTGGTCCATATATGGACCAGTCCCGGAGCGAAAAGGTTAAATAAAAATTGTGTGTAAAGATTGACTTTGTGTAGACATAAGTTAAATAAAAACATTTAAGTTTAATTAATTATGACTTAAGGCTCGTGAAATTATCAACAAGATATGTATAAGGCCTTACGAGCCATTCTCAAGATGTTTTGAGTAGAAACTTATACGTGTATATATATACATACACATGTAACGAAATTCAACTTGTAAATTTTTACAAGTGAGTGTTTTTTGAGTTGAAAACTCAATTCTTAAATTCATACGGGATTGCAGATTTGCATCTCACATATGACAAACCCCGAATACCCCCCTAACTAATTTTAAAATTTTTGCGAAAAAAACTCCTCGGCCAGTAAAATTACGCTGGCTGAAGAATGCGTTAAACAACATTAACAGACCATCTTTGATATATGTATATTGNGAAACTAACTCCAAGTGCCTCGGTGGCCTAACAGGGAAGGCGATGGCACGGAAAGCCGGAGATTCCAAGTTCGACTCCTGGCCGAGGAGTTTTTTTCGCAAAACTTTTAAAATTAGTTAGGGGGGTATCCGGGGTCTGTCATATGTGAGATGCAAATCTGGGGGTCAATTGTGTATCACAAAGTCTAGTGAAAATCATAAAAGTGAGTTCTCGCTTGATTGGATAATTTTCATCATAGTGAAAATGCGAAAATTCTCATGTGGGATTGCTCGACAAGAAATTTTATGTCGAATTATGTCTAAATGTGTCAAAATTGTGTCGAAAGTGCAGTAACTGTTGGTTTAACCTGTTTAATAAGCGATGGAGTA